CGTGTACAACAGACTCAATACATGTACAACAGACTCAACACATGTACAACAGACACAACACATGTACAACCGACACATACGCATGTACAACAGGCTCAACATATGTACAACAGACTCAACACATGTACAACAGACACAATACATGTACAACGGCCTCAATACATCAACACATGTACACCAGACACAGCACATGTAAAACAGACACAGCACATGTACAACAGATACAACACATGTACAACAGCCTCAAGACATGTACAACAGATACAACACATGTACAACAGACACAACACATTTACAACAGACACAATATATGTACAACAGATACAACACATGTACAACAGCCTCAAGACATGTACAACGGATACAACACATGTACAACAGACTCAACACATGTACAACAGACACAACACATGTACAACCGACACATACGCATGTACAACAGGCTCAACATATGTACAACAGACTCAACACATGTACAACAGACACAATACATGTACAACGGCCTCAATACATCAACACATGTACACCAGACACAGCACATGTAAAACAGACACAACACATGTACAACAGATACAACACATGTACAACAGCCTCAAGACATGTACAACAGATACAACACATGTACAACAACCTCAAAACATGTACAACAGATACAACACATGTACAACAGACACAACACATTTACAACAGACACAATATATGTACAACAGATACAACACATGTACAACAGCCTCAAGACATGTACAACGGATACAACACATGTACAACAGACACAACACATTTACAACAGACACAATACATGTACAACAGATACAATACATGCACAACATATGTACAACAGACACAACACATGTACAACAGATACAATATATGTACAACAGACACAACATATGTACAACAGACACAACACATGTACAACAGACACAATACATGTACAACAGCCTCAAGAAATGTACAACAGATACAACACATGTACAACAGCCTCAAAACATGTACAACAGATACAACACATGTACAACAGACACAACACATGTACAACAGCATCAAAACATGTACAACAGATACAACACATGTACAACAGACACAACACATGTACAACAGATACAACACATGTACAACAGATACAACACATGTACAGCAGATACAACACATGTACACCAGACACAGCACATGTAAAACAGACACAGCACATGTACAACAGATACAACACATGTACAACAGCCTCAAGACATGTACAACAGATACAACACATGTACAACAGCCTCAAAACATGTACAACGGATACAACACATGTACAACAGACACAACACATTTACAACAGACACAACACATGTACAACAGATACAATATATGTACAACAGACACAACATATGTACAACAGACACAACACATGTACAACAGACACAATACATGTACAACAGATACAATACATGTACAACATATGTACAACAGACACAACACATGTACAACAGATACAAAACATGTACAACAGATACAACACATGTACAACAGACTCAACACATGTACAGCAGACTCAACACATGTACAACAGAGTCAACTCATGTACAACAGATACAACACATGTACAACAGATACAACAGACACAACACCTGTACAACAGACACAACACATTTACAGCAGACTCAACACATGTACAACAGAGTCAACACATGTACAACGGATACAACACATGTACAACAGATACAACAGACACAACACATGTATAACAGACTCAACACATGTACAGCAGACTCAACACATGTACAACAGAGTCAACACATGTACAACAGACACAACACATGTACAACAGACTCAACACGTGTACAACAGCCTCAAGACATGTACAACAGATACAACACATGTACAACAGCCTCAAAACATGTACAACGGATACAACACATGTACAACAGACACAACACATTTACAACAGACACAATACATGTACAACAGATACAATACATGCACAACATATGTACAACAGACACAACACATGTACAACAGATACAATACATGTACAACAGCCTCAAGACATGTACAACAGATACAACACATGCTGAACAGCCTCAAGACATGTACAACAGATACAACACATGTACAACAGACACAACACATTTACAACAGACACAATACATGTACAACAGATACAACATATGTACAACAGCCTCAAGACATGTACAACAGATACAACACATGTACAACAGCCTCAAAACATGTACAACGGATACAACACATGTACAACAGACACAACACATTTACAACAGACACAATACATGTACAACAGATACAATACATGCACAACATATGTACAACAGACACAACACATGTACAACAGATACAAAACATGTACAACAGACACAACATATGTACAACGGATACAACACATGTACAACAGACACAACACATGTACAACAGACTCAACACATGTACAACAGATACAACACATTTACAACAGATACAACACATTCACAAGATACACGGCACATATACAACAGACAAAACACATGTAGAACAGATACAACACATGCACAACAGACACATCACATATACAACAGACACAATACATGTAGAACAGATACAATACATGCACAACATATGTACAACAGACACAACACATGTACAACAGACACAATACATGTACAACGGCCTCAATACATCAACACATGTACACCAGACACAGCACATGTACAACAGATACAACACATGTACAACAGATACAACACATGTACAACAGCCTCAAGACATGTACAACAGATACAACACATGCACAACAGCCTCAAGACATGTACAACAGATACAACACATGTACAACAGACACAACACATTTACAACAGACACAATACATGTACAACAGATACAACATATGTACAACAGCCTCAAGACATGTACAACAGATACAACACATGTACAACAGCCTCAAAACATGTACAACGGATACAACACATGTACAACAGACACAACACATTTACAACAGACACAATACATGTACAACAGATACAATACATGCACAACATATGTACAACAGACACAACACATGTACAACAGATACAATACATGTACAACAGCCTCAAGACATGTACAACAGATACAACACATGCTGAACAGCCTCAAGACATGTACAACAGATACAACACATGTACAACAGACACAACACATTTACAACAGACACAATACATGTACAACAGATACAACATATGTACAACAGCCTCAAGACATGTACAACAGATACAACACATGTACAACAGCCTCAAAACATGTACAACGGATACAACACATGTACAACAGACACAACACATTTACAACAGACACAATACATGTACAACAGATACAATACATGCACAACATATGTACAACAGACACAACACATGTACAACAGATACAAAACATGTACAACAGACACAACATATGTACAACGGATACAACACATGTACAACAGACACAACACATGTACAACAGACTCAACACATGTACAACAGATACAACACATTTACAACAGATACAACACATTCACAAGATACACGGCACATATACAACAGACAAAACACATGTAGAACAGATACAACACATGCACAACAGACACATCACATATACAACAGACACAATACATGTAGAACAGATACAATACATGCACAACATATGTACAACAGACACAACACATGTACAACAGATACAATATATGTACAACAGACACAACATATGTACAACAGACACAACACATGTACAACAGACACAATACATGTACAACAGATACAATACATGTACAACATATGTACAACAGACACAACACATGTACAACAGATACAAAACATGTACAACAGACACAACATATGTACAAAGGATACAACACATGTACAACAGACACAACACATGTACAACAGACTCAACACATGTACAACAGATACAACACATTTACAACAGATACAACACATTCACAAGATACACGGCACATATACAACAGACAAAACACATGTAGAACAGATACAACACATGCACAACAGACACATCACATATACAACAGACACATCACATATACAACAGACACATCACATATACAACAGACAAAACACATGTCATGCTACTCCATGGCTTATGAAATAGCATTTTCTGGTGTGTGAGGGTGTGCAAACTTGATATGTTTCCTCATGACAAAGCTAGGCGGAACTAATCAATTAAATGTACCTCTAGTGATGAATAGGTTTGCTAGTCTACGGAGTCGATGCCCCTATTCCGAGACAGCTGGGTCGCGGCCTTGTTGACGATATCGTAATTCTGTAGGCTTCTGTAGGCTACATTTCGTTCTACTGGGTTAAAACATTGACTCAATGCATTCTTGACTGCCTGACAGCTATTGAGTTGTCCTAAGAGATAACTCCAAAGGTTTTTTGTGCTGCACCTCTCAAACACATACACAGTTGTTGAGTTTGTTTATGCTCTCTCCAGCCATTCGATGAACCGACTTGTTCAAAATGGACTTAATGGTCTTGTACTATCAAACCTCTAAGCCTTAACCTATCCTGTTGTATTTATGGTGCACTGAAATGAAGAGAAAGCCCACCCGTCATGATGCCGCCTGGTACATAGTAACCAAACAACTGATAATCGGCGCTCTGATATGCAGGTGCACCGTAACAGGGCCCTAAATGTGTATCCCGACCAACCAGTTTACTCCTTAAACCAACGCCATCTCCTACTGGTATATAAGGTGTAAATATTGAATACATATTTTGCTAGTAACTAAATTCAAACCTAATCATTCTGTCCTACCTTCACCTGAATTTTAATTTAGTTCACAGAAAAAAAACCTATAACTTGAAATTGAAAGTAATCCCGATCCTGGTCTCGGCACCAAATCTGTACTTTATGTTGTGTTCTCTACTCCCTACGCAGTATTCTTGGCCTACATGTTCTGTAAGGCTCCTGGGTTATCAGTTCTAATTATAGGAAACAATACAAAACAAGATTGAAGTTTAATTTAAAGTTTATTTTAACAAAAACGTCAAAGTTTATTTTAACAAAAACAAACACGACACTTATTCTACACATACACACTCTGCTTCCAACATTGAAACAATACATCAACACCCTAGATGCAAAATACACAAACACTATCCACACACTACCACCCTACCTCCCTCCCCCACAAATGCAAAAAAACAACAATCATGAATTATTTCATAAAAACTGATCCAAACAAACTCATCCAAAGCCAAGCGTCACATACACCCAAAACTCCCGAAGACAGATACACCAAATGCACTGACCCCTCCCACGCTTTGACCATACGTATGAAACAATACCTTGCTTCACATTATGTAAAAATATCTGTTTTAAGTAATCATGCAATCATGTTATTTCAGCTCAGGTCAGTTTTTGATATGGCCCCTCGATCATAATGTGGCAAGTGAAACAAGAAACTTCATAGTACACCGCGATACGCATTCCTGCGAATACCCAGATATGTCACGAGACATACATTTCAACAATAATAAATTAATGAATGACCACGAGATGGCATTTGCTTGACGAATAGATAGCATGTTTTGATAATATAACACATTCTAGAGTGCGTAGATCAGTACAAACGTCACTGATAGTATATGTTGATAGTTTGAATACATTAAGGAGCATGTGTCTGTGAGCATGAAACGTTTGATAACTGTGTTATCATCGCCCTGTCTTGTACAATCCCCTGTCTTCTGACCACACGCTACACAGTCCCCACTACATCTGTGTTGACACTGACTCCCGTAGGCCCCGTCCTTACACCCACGACTACAGCGACCATCTTCCTCACACACACCATCCACACACGACCCACTACAACGAGCAGTGCAGTTGGTGCCATGAAACCCTCGTGAACAGTTGATGCATTGGCCATGGTCACAAACGTCACATCTCTCTCCCAACCATCCATCAATACAAGCTGAACATCTGCCATGGTGGTCACACACATTGTTTCTACAACGCTGACAGTTCTGGTGACAATGTTTGCCATAGTACCCTTGTACGCAGCCCTCCACACACGATCCATCATGGCCGTAACAGAGGGAAGACTTGCAGGAGGTACTGCACGGCGTGTGACAGCGCAGACCGTGCCACCCAGTCACACATCCTTCCTGACAGGCTGCAGTACTTCGGTTACAGTGCCTGTGTCCATCTCCTCCTTTGTAGCACTTCTCAGGACACGTTTTGTTGCAGTGATGGCCATGGTAACCAGGTTCACACATTTCACATACTCCAGTCTGTCTGTCACAGCCAGTGGTCCAGCAATGTTCACATCTCTCCTCACACTTCTGTCCATAGAAGCCTGCTTCACATCCATGTAGACAGTAGCCGGTATTGCTGCATCTTCCCATCAGACAGTTGTCACATGTTGTGTTACAGAAGTCCCCTGTCCATCTTCTCTCACACCCAGCCAGACACTGTCCTGTATGCTGGTGACAGACTGGCCCCTTGCAGTTAGACGGACATCGTTCATCACAGTGTAATCCAGTCCATCCTCCATCACAAGATTCAGAGCAAGCACCTGTGTGTCTGTCACAGTAGACAACGCCACCTACCCTGCTGCTGGTACATCGTCGTAGACAGGGTGTGTCACAGTGTCGTCCATAGAATCCCGGCGTACATCTGAAGCATTCCCCAGTGTGTCTGTGACATCCGTCTGTGTGACAACTTCCTTGACATGGAGAGCTGCAGTTTGATCCATGACACCCGATGGTACATGACTGACATCTAAGCCGACCATTTCCATGCCTACAACCACTTGTGTCACATATGTCGTGACTTGGGGGCACTGAAAATAAACATTTTTATTGTTTTTGTATGGTAAAGTATCAGATAAAACATAAGTGATATTTAAGAAACGATATAAAAACCTGAAATTATATTCCACAAATTATATCTCAGTTTTTACGTTTTTAAACTGTAATCAATTGTATGGTAAATTCGAAGTATTGGGTAAAAAATAAGTGATATGTTGTTTAAGAAGCGATATGAAAATCTTTAAAGTAGATTCCACAAATTATATCTCAGTTTCGTTTCTACTTTAATCAAATAACCTTTTGTAGACCCTTTGTGACATGCAGAATATAATTTCATTTCATCACTTATATACATACTTACCCAATGAGTCTGTGAACGCCAGCAGGGTCATCACCCCAACCCATAGGATCTCTCCCATCTTCAGGGTCCCAAGATGCAAGCAGTTCGTCCTGAATGATGAAAACATATATAAGGATAGGACGACTAATGCATAAGTTAAAAGTTTAGCCGTGCGGCAAGTGTTATACTTTAAGCTACACCCTTCACACTGGCATCGTCATAAACAACACCATAGCACATATGTCGTAATAAACCATGCCGACTAAGGGACCGACCATGAGTGGGTTTGGAGTGGGGACGAGATATTTTGTACAGCTGCAAAACCAGATGCTTTTCATATTAAAACTAGGAGCCTCAATGTCTTTCTAAAAGTCACCTTGCAACAACGTATTTTTGTGGCAGACAGGTTCCTTCTTTTGAAGAGTCAGAAGCAGAAAAAATATTTCATTATTTATTTATTATTTTTCGATACAATCCCAGGCTTGGCCATGGTATGATGGGTTCGTTAGTCTCAGACACCTGGGCTTATTATTCAGTGACGGCAAGCATCCTAGCCTCACGTTTCCCAGTAGTGCTAACACATTTACTAAAGCAACTGGGAAATCGGTCTGCTACAAATGATGGTCTTCAACCCATATACTTACTTCTTTATATAATTACCTTTGCATCCGATAAAAACACACATCAGTACCTACCTTTCAGAGGCATAACCTGATACGACGTAATCTGACAGTCAAGTGCGCCCAACTGTACTCCTACCTGCGATTTTATATGCACCCTCTTATATCCCTCATGTCACACGCAATCTTGGTATAGGTGTGTGTTGGAATTTGTAGGAAGTGGTTGTTCTGTTAGGACCGAGATAAGACGAGGCGATATTTATAAGACTTGGTGGTAAAGACCCCCTTGTAAATCTGTTTTAACGCGCAGGTCTTTTTTATTATTGATCTTCTTAGAAATCGTTTGTAAAGCTTATGAGTGAGATAATATATCAAGTGTGTGACTGTGATCAGTCGTGGTGGTGTTGTAATTGTTTGGTGGTGGTGTAGTTGTTGGGTGGTGGTGGTGTAGTTGTTAGGTGATGGTGGTGTAGTTGTTAGGTGATGGTGGTGTAGTTGTGAGTGATGGTGGTGTAGTTGTTAGGTGATGGTGGTGTAGTTGTTTGGTGGTGGTGGTGTAGTTGATGGTGGTGGTGGTGTACTTGTTTGATGGTGGTGGTGTTGTTGTTATGTGGTGGTGGTGTAGTTTTTTGGTGTTGGTGTTGTTGCTAGGTGGTGATGGTGTAGTTGTTAGGTGGTGGTGTAGTTGTTAGGTGGTGGTGTAGTTGTTTGGTGGTGGTGATGGTGTTGTTAGGTGGTGGTGGTGTAGTTGTTAGGTGGTGGTGTAGTTGTTAGGTGGTGGTGGTGTAGTTGTTAGGTGGTGGTGTAGTTGTTTGGTGGTGGTGATGGTGTTGCTAGGTGGTGATGGTGTAGTTGTTAGGTGGTGGTGTAGTTGTTAGGTGGTGGTGGTGTAGTTGTTAGGTGATGGTGTAGTTGTTTGGTGGTGGTGATGGTGTTGTTAGGTGGTGGTGGTATAGTTGTTAGGTGGTGATGCTGTTGTTGTTATGTGGTGATGGTGTAGTTGTTTGGTGATGATGTAGTTGTTAGAGGTGGTGTAGTTGTTAGGTAGTGATAGTGTAGTTGTTAGGTGGTCGTGGGGATGTTGTTAGGTGGTGGCGTAGTTGTTAGGAGGTGGTGGTGTAGTTGTTAGGTGGTCGTGGGGATGTTGTTAGGTGGTGGTGGTGTAGTTGTTAAGTGGTTGTGGTGTAGTTGTTAGGTGGTGATGTAGTTGTTTGATGGTGGTGGTCCAATACAAATAAATCTGATCCAAAGAAGAATACCCAAAATTTAAACAAGACCTTGATTACACAGTTTTACTTGTATATGTGTAGATGATTGTCGTGGCCTTTCCTGGACTCCAGGAACTAATGTGAAACATATCTACGAAACGTAGTTTTCACCTGTAGCGATGACCTTTTATATAGTAGTGGGACCCCGACAACCGCTAAAAACAGTTGGGAAGCTTATATACATGAGTCATCCGGTACTCATAACATGCCAGGAACGTGTAACATCTTTTGAAAGCTTAGCGACGGGTCAATGTAACTTCAAGATTATGTGTTGCACGAGTACTATACAACATGACAACATATTGGTCTTGACAAGTGGTATCAAGTGGTACAGGAGGAGTACAGCCATACGTCAAGCGAAGTTACCTACTCAAAACTCTACATTTGCTAATTCCCATACTATACAACTTCTGGTATCTAAGACATCTCATCTTTGAAAATCAATAAATATCATTTTTTCGGCACATATTTACATTTAAAACATAGTAGTCATGTGGTTGCAAATTCAAATATAACACCCAACACTCTGTATGCGTTTGACTCTATATATCTATATAAACAGTGAGAGAGTCCATATGTTGTAAATCATTATTTGTATATAATTCATTTAGTAAAGTTATTGATTTAGTTTGGTCAATACAGCGAATAAAACTCTGTCTGCGTTTGACATGGAGTTTGACATGTGGGTTCACCCTTCAGTAGCGCTGTGGGGAAACAGAGCTTATCTCGTCTGGCTGGTAGATTACACATTCTTTTGTAGAAGAGTATGTCATGTAAATGAGGCATGTATACGTGATGTGTCTTTTTGTGTGTCTGTTGGACATGTGCTATGTCTGGACATGTGTTATGCAGGTGGTGTGTGTCTTGTACAGGTGTTGTACATGTGTTGTGTCTGTTGTACAGGTGTTGTACAGCTGTTGTGTTTGTTGTACATGTGTTGTACATGTGTTGTGTCTGTTGTACAGGTATTGTACATGTGTTGTGTCTGTTGTACATGTGTTGAGTCTGTTGTACATATGTTGTACATGTAGTTTGTCTGTTGTACAGGTGTTGTACATGTGTTGTGTCTGCTGTACAGGTGTTGTGCAGCTGTTGTGTCTGTTGTACATGTGTTGTACAGCTGTTGTGTCTGTTGTACATGTGTTGTACATGTGTTGTGTCTGTTGTATATGTGTTGTGCAGCTGTTGGGTCTGTTGTACATGTGTTGTACAGCTGTTGTGTATGTTGTACAGGTGTTGTGCAGCTGTTGTGTCTGTTGTACAGGTGTTGTGCAGCTGTTGTATCTGCTGTACATGTGTTGTACAGCTGTTGTGTCTATTGTACATGTGTTTTGTCTGTTGTACATGTGTTGTACGTGTGTTTTGTCTGTTGTACAGGTGTTGTGCAGCTGTTGTGTCTGTTGTACAGGTGTTGTGCAGCTGTTGTATCTGCTGTACATGTGTTGTACAGCTGTTGTGTCTATTGTACATGTGTTTTGTCTGTTGTACATGTGTTGTACGTGTGTTTTGTCTGTTGTACATGTGTTGTACAGCTCTTGTGTCTGTTAACGTGTGTTGTGTCTGTTATACGTGTGTTGTGTATGTTGGTCATGTGTTGTGTCTATTGTACATGTGTTGTGTCTATTGTACATGTGTTGTGTCTATTGTACATGTGTTGTACAGCTGGTGTGTCTGTTGCACATGTGTTTTGTCTGTTGTACATGTGTTGTGTCTGTTGTACGTACGTTGTACTTGTGTTGTGTCGGTTGTACAGCTGTTTTGTCTGTTATACATGTGTTGTGTCTATTGTACATATGTTGTACAGCTGTTGTGTCTGTTGTACATGTGTTGCGTCTGTTGTACATACGTTGTACTTGTGTTGTGTCGGTTGTACAGCTGTTGTGTCTGTTATACATGTGTTGTGTCTGTTGCACATATGTTGTACAGCTGTTGTAGTCCTGCATGACGTCCCGTCAAATTGATCAGGTCTGATAAAACATTGCCCGCAGGATTTAATGATCATGGATCCGGAAAATCAACCCTTGAACTTTCATGAAGTATTTCCGGTGAACTAAAATGAATAGAACGGCCACCCAGTCATGATGCCGCCTGGAACAGAGTGACGAAACAACCGATAATCAGCGCTCTGATGTGCAGGTGCACCGTAACCTGACCCTAAATGTGTATCACCGACCTGTCTGAGCAATATGAATTTATGGCAAAGGTCAGATGTTTGCTGCAGTGTCTTGCGTTGTGTTTTCTTCTCCCTGTGCAGTCTTCTTTGCCTACATGTTCCCTGGGGCTCCTTATTTTTTTTATAACAGAAATAAGGGGCAAATCCTTCACGTAATTAATTAAAACCTACATATTTTCCACCCTTCCCCGCCTACTAATACTGTTCATCATTCTTCCTTGAAGTCCTCTCTAACTTAACTCCCCACAGTAAAATGTTCCCAAAGAAACCTCTGGAATCCTAACTCTATTTCTCCCTCATCCAAACAACTCATTTAACATCCACTTTACCCCAACGAAAACATTATAAGAAATAATAAATGGTCTTGATTCACAACGCGTGAGTAGACTAAACCCTAACAGATACTGGTGAGCGGCGACTGATGATTCCCTACCAAGGCTTATATACCCGATATGCGGACCATGTCACTAGTAAAATAGCCACAGCCAATGACCACGTTCCTTACATCTCGGCAAGGGTGGAAACTGGACGTTTATTGTCAGTTAACCCTCTTGCCTTTAAGGTTTGGAGCGCTTATTACAAACCGCACGCACGACTAAACGGTCCGAATAAAGACATGTCTTGGATACATCACAGCTGATGTAGTCGCCCCATGTCTGCAAACTGACCAAAAATATACCAATTTATATAATACTATTACAACAATGTTTGATAGTATAGATTTTCATAATATAACACAATAACCATACTTGACACGCATTCTTGAATGCGTAGATAAGTACAAACGTAACTGACATTATATTTTGATATTTTGAATACATTAAGGAGCATGTGCATTCAAGCATATCCAGTTCGTTAACTGCATCGTCTTCCCCTGTCATCTGATCACGCGCTAAACAGTACCCGTGTTAACACCGACTCCCGTAGGCCCCGTCCTTTAATCCTCGACTACAGAGACCATCAACCTCACGCACACACCACACAGACACCACACTATAACGATCAGTGCAGTTAGTGCCATGACACTCGCGTGAACATGTGATACATTGTCCTTTGCCACATACGACTCATCTCTCTCCCAACCATCCATCAATACATGCTCAACAACTGCCATGGTGGTCACGCACATTGTTTTGTTACAGTGAAGTCCGTGATAACCAGGATGACACTGTTCACATATTCCAGTCTGTCTGTCACAGCCAGTGGTCCAGCAATGTTGACATCTCTCCTCACACTTCTGCTCATAGAAGCCTGCTTCACATCCATGTAGACAGTAGCCGGTGATGCTGCATCTTCCCATCAGACAGTTGCCACATGTTATGTTACAGAAGTCTCCTGTCCATCTTCCCTCACACCCAGCCAGACACCGTCCTGTATGTTTGTGACATAGAACCCTGGCGTACATCTGAAACACTCCCCATTGAGTCTTTCACATCCGTCTGTGTGACAACTTCCTTGGCAAGGAGAGCTGCAGTTTGATCCGTGACACCCGATGTTAAATGACTGACATCTGAGCTGACCATTTCTAGACTACAACCATTTGTGTTACATAGGTCGTGAGTCGGGTGCACTGAAAATAAATATTTTTAAGGTTGTATTATGGCAAATTCGAAGTCTGCAAATCACAGACTGAGGCACACTGAAGATATTGGCTTCCTTTCGCAGAGTTCTACCAGTTAGAACCAAGCATGCCAAAGGCAATAATTTCAGCTGTGAGTGAGTGAGTATGATTTTACGCCACTTATATATTTTGATA